GGTCTAGGCCCGAAACGTCAGCCTTCCTGCTCCTCTGATGCTGCTTGGCCTGCTGTGTTCATCCAGCTGTACACCTTGTTATCTTGGATAGCAGTGAGGATGCTTTGTAGGATACCAATGTCACAGGCCCGTAGAGAAGAATGGGGAGGAATAGTTTGCCTTTTGTCAGAGCCACTTAGGATTTCACTTTGAGATTTCAATAAGAACTGTCTCGATGCAATGGCAGGGGCTGAAACCTGATTTGGAAGGCTTCCAAGAGCATGGAATTCCTGGAAAAATGGGTTGGAATTTGGAATTTGTTCAAGAACTTTGGAGAGGAATGGGACATTAGATGTGGAATATCTATCGCCATTCACAGCACCATCTCGGGTACAACAAACTTAGCTACAAAGTAGTGAAAGAAACTAGATTTAAAAAGTCAAGCATTACCTTCATAGAATCAGTAGAAAAGTAGAGAAATGAAGTGAGCATCTGAAGACACTTATCTCAGTGGCTTCGGCTCAGGGAAATGTCTGTGGAATCTTTTCTGTATTAGTTTAACATCTCATTGGAAAGTCAGTACCTCCAACAGTACAGGAATTTCTCAGTATCTCACTGGGATGTCCACTTAATGTGTGTTCAACGCACCACCATCTGACTGAGGTGGGAATCATACAAATGACCTGAGGCTGTCATTTGACTGTAGTTCCCAAACTTGCATTTTCAAATCAATTTTCTGTCTAATTGTAAATAGCATGCAAAAGCATTCATTTGTTGATGAGATTAAGATTAAAAATTTTAAATAAATCAACTGTTAAATTACTATATGCACCCAAAATGACTTGTTCAAAAGTTTTCCAAATCTAGAATAATACCACAAACCCACATTATAGTACCTGCCTGTACAGTTTTACATATCATCATCTCCTTTCATAAAGCAGGAGGATGGATTATAAGCACCAAGAATGTAAAGATCCTTATGCATATATAGAGATTGAGAATTAGTTCAAGCTTCTAGAACGAGACTCGACTTCAGAATTGCGTGAGCTACAGATTGTGTTATTTTGAGAATTGCGTTGTTTCTGTGGTAAGATTATAGTTACATTTTTGCACCTGCTATTTCCTTTCCTGTGGTCGGTTGGCTCTCAATCTCACTGGTTTGGTCTGGAGGGACAATGTACAGCTGCCTCTACCAGAAGTCTGGGGGAGAAAAATCTCCCTTCGACTGGTGAAGATCAAGAACACTTCTGTGCAGTTTCAGCACAGATTTCTGCAGGAGCCTGAATGTCACAGTGCGTAGCTCTGAGTGAACTTGTTTTCTGTTTCCACTGCAGCACAGAACTAATGCGTCGAGTGAGAAGGTTTCAGATTGCTCAATATCAATGTCTTGTGGTAAAGTATGCAAAGGATATTCGATACAGTAAAGAAGATCTGTCTACACATGACAGGTGAGTATTGAGTGCGGTGTGATTACTGAGAGTCACAGCACTAAGTGGGCACTGTAATCTATATTTAACCAGAGCTCATGCTTCTTGTCTGTGACCAGGGTGAACGTTTACAGGAAAATACAGCTTATTTCATGCTCTCTGTAAATGACAAGAAACATTTGCTAATGTTGCTATGACCCTTCTGAGCAGTAATTCCTTTGAACCACGTTGGCACTTTCTTCAGAACTCCCTCTTTCCCAGGTATTCCATGCAATCTCAAACAGGTATGGTTCTGTCATTTTTGCTTTTGACTGAAATCCATCAGTTTGACATTTAACCTCCATATCTAAAGCATAGCTTGCTGGACTGCCACTTCACCAGATGATACCCACCAAATAATTATTGCTTGTAAATTCCCTCATCTGCCTTCCAAGGAATTAGCAAACTATGGTGAGGTTTTTGAACTAATCATTGTCTTTACTCTCTGTGGTTTGTATGATGTACTGTTGTGGTTAAGTGCAGGTCTGGATTTTACTCTTTGTTCCTCTGTCACATTTGTGGGTGTATCTTTCCCCAGCAAGAGGTGGAGTCTGGTTCATGGAGTATATTCAGGCTGAGTTACATGAAGGTTTTGATCTACATCAGTCGAGGATCATGGGGCCAGTCAGGAAAGTGGAGTTAAAGCCACAATCAGATCAACCATAATCTTATCAAATGAGGGAAACAGGCACACTCCTGCTCTCACTTCTTTCTGTCTTATAATCTTACTAATCACCTCTGAACCAAAATTAGGTTCATTGAAATCTTCTTGCAGTCAGGTAGCAACAACCTGATGTTAAACAAAAAAACTGAAGAAGTGCAGATGCCAGAAATCCGACACCAAAACTAAAATTGTTGGTGAAGCTCAGCAGGTCTGGTACCATCTTTGGAGAAAAAGCAAAGCTAGTGTTTCAGATCCACTGACTCTTCAGAATTTCCAGCATCCGCAATTGTTTGGTGTTTTATTGTTTTGTTTATTCATAACCTTTCTCCATTGGCTGATTTTTGTTTGTGTCTAATCCTGTACTCATCCATCCATTTAATTAATTTCTAACCTATTCCTCCCCCACCCCCACCCCCTGGTTTCTCTTCTCTGTAGAGAAGTTGATCCTTAGCACAATCAACCATACCTTCTTCTTCGGTTTTTAATATATGCAGGGCACTAAGCAAATATGCCCTGGAAACCTCAAGTTGTTTGCAAAAGAAACAAATATGGTGGTTTAAAAAAAAGATATAAGATTTCCCTTGTGTATATATTTATGCTGTGTCTCATTGGGAGTGGGAAAATAATGCAGAGTTTGATTTGAGGACAGGAAGGAGAAGATCTGTGATTGGTGGAGTCAGACCAGTTTTTCTGGCAGTCCTGGTGCCACCGTGCAGGAGCGTTTTATCTGCACCGTTTAGAGTGAGATTGAGGTGAAGTAGTTGAAATGGAAGAGAAGGCAACTGGAAACCCATCAACAAGGCTGGGAGCGGGGCATTGGGAATATGAATATGGATCCAGCCTCATGTGAATATGGACGCAGCTGGCCCCTCACAAATTGGGGCTGGGGATCTTGGCAGACCTTTCACCTTGCTATAGTGGCAGCTCCAGGCTGAGTTTGCAGGATGTCCACTTGGAGTCAGCTGAGAAATGGAGAACATTTGCAAAAAGTGCCTGTAGCTGGGAAGGTTGGGGTCTGGACTCATGAAGGAGCCACCGGTTATTGGAAGGAGATTCAAGCTCCCAAGGGAGTTGCTGCCTGGTAGATGTAAACTTCAACCTACTCCCAAAAACTAAGCCCGCAAAAAAACTTTGAAGTAGGAACGGTAAATCCTTTGAAAAAAAGGAAGGGCGTGGTATTAATATATTCATACCAAATGGTAATTAACGATAGCTCAGAGCTGTTCTCTTGCATTTCTTTTGTTTTTAATTTCATGAAGTATTGATTTTCCCCCCAGTTCATTTGGAAATAAAACATTTCTTTAGTTCAGGTTCTTTGAAGCTGTATTAATAATAATGTTTCTTTGGTCTCTCCAATCTCTATCTCATTAAAGTTTGGGTCAAGTGAGGAGGTGCATTAGCTTGGGAAAACTCACTGAAACATGAATTAAATTTTGTTATCTGATGGTTACTTGGTACTGCTGAACTAATTTGTATGGATTCCCCTTGTGGTATAGTTGGACATTTGGAAGTCAGCATTCACTTCAGACAGAAGTAATGAGGATTTTTTAAAAAAAATTGAAATTAACAGAACAAAGCCAAAGGATACTGCAGAATGCAATTTCCTTGCAATTACTTTATGAAAAAGGCTGTATTTGTAGTTGTCTATCCAAAGAAAGAAGCCTTAAAATAGTGTAAATCCACTATGTAACCTCATTACCCAATAGAGGAACTAGTGAGAATGAAAAGGAAACTCCTGAAATCGAAATGTAGTCACTGAGAAAATTTCTCTAAAGATGAAAAAACTGGCTGTCTCTCACTGCATGGCATCTGTTGTTCACTTTATTATAATTGGTCTCACTTGATAATCACCAGAGTATCTCCAGAATGGTTTCTGTTCCCATCTTGCACCGTTCTGTCAAGCCACCATTTGGTCATCTACTCTATGCCCCTTAGCAATACAATCTGTAGGGGAGAGATAACATAGAACAGTCTGGAGTTCTGTGTTCATTAGTACAATCGATCTTTATTTGAACTCTACCACATGTGCAGGAAAGGTCAGAGACCCCTCCAAATCTGGCCTTCATGTGGGGCCCAGTTGCTCTTTTAATTACAGGTCAGATCAGAAGAGGGGTCAGTGACACTCCTGTTTCCCCAGTGAGATACAGCATTTTTATACATTTCTCGTTACAATAATTACATGCAATGTTGTCATTGTTCCTTCCTCCTTAATCTATACATCCAATCCTGTGAAACACCTGAACAATGGTGGATACCCCTAGGTTATCCATAACCTCATGATGTTTATCAGACATTGTAATCATCAGGCATTGGGATCTTACAATGTGTGTCCCATTAATTCACTTTCCAAAGTTAACGGTTAGACTTTCTCAGACATTTCCCATACTTGCTTATCTCAAAAGCCTGCTCAAATTCTGAAGTTCATTGTATTTATTGCTATCCCTATTAAATTCTGTTACTCATCTTCTATTTCCCACAGGATATACAAAAGGTGGTTAGTTCTTATTAATTGCTATAAGACCCATAGTGTTAGTTCTAATATAAAGTTAGTTATATGTAAAGTTTTATGGCTACATTTACTGTTTGGATTCTTTAGCTAATGAGTTGTGAGCAGTTTCTGTCCCACCTGACCTTGGAAGGTAGACACTGCCCTTCCATCTTGCAGCTGCATAATAACTCATTCTTGTCACATACTGTCTTCTGAGATGAAACTTACTGCCTGTACTCTTAACACTTTTACCTAATAAGTCGACATCCTGTTCACCAATAACACTAAGCTCAATCACTTTCACAGCTCAATGTCAGATCTCCTAGGTTTTTACAAGACATAATCCCACCCTTATCATTTGTCTCTGTTATTGTGGGGTCCTAATTTTCTTTTTAATGTTTGCTAAAAATTTCAGGCTGTCTGTTCTCAGACACTTCTTATCAAACTGTCTGTTTCTCACATCTGCAGCTGTTGTTTGTACAGAACTCCCTGTATGTTTCTTTGTACGATTCTTTGTTCAAAATAGACCATGTTATGTTGGGTTACTTCCTTCTCAAAGCTATTCTTGTGCTAACTTGTGATCTCACTTTAATGCTAGGCCAGGTAAGCTAATTCTGTTACTGCAATGGATGCCATATTGTGCCACCTCTTACCAGGGCTGCCCCAACACCATCCAAAGATTGGAGTTTGAGTTATGTAATCTCCTCCAATTTGACATTGAGATCAAAGTCGCCCTTTTGTCCACTATCTCTGCATAATTGCTATTGGTTCAATTCCCTCCTTCCAGCTGATGTATGCTTCAAAGAGATCATTCACAATTTTTTTTTTTCTTTATTCATTAACGGGATGAGGGTGTCACTGGCTAGGCAGCATTTATTGCCCATCCCTAGTTGCCCATAGGGCAATTCAGAGTCAACATTAAGGATGTTAGTGAACCAGATGGTCTTTTTCGACAATGGATTCATGTTCAACATTAGATTATTAATTCCAGATATTTTATTGAATTTAAATTCTACCACATGCCTTGGCGGGATTCGAACCTGTGTCCCCAGAATGCTGCCTGGATCTCTGGATTAACTTATTACGCTGTTTATCCGCAAACAAAGCTTCTGATTTATTTACATGTTGCAGACTTGCCACTGAGATGCTGAAACAAAAACAGAAATTGTTGGAGAAACTCTGCAGGTCTGGCAGCATCTATAGCGAGAGAGAGCTGAGTCAACGCTTCGACTCAGTGACCCTGAGTTAAACTGAAATGGTGTCCATGTGTTTGTCATCTCCATGATTGTCTTTTCCACTTGTACCTTGGCTGGTCTCTGATTATCTACACTTCAAACTTCACCTTGTCTAAAATCTGTTCCTTATACCACATCCTCTGCTTCCACTTACCATTTGGCCCAGTCCTCACTAACTTAATTTGGTTTTTCATTTTATTGTCCTCGCTTAACATGTATTTTCAAACATTCAAGCCTCTTAATGGCCTCTCCCCTCCACCATTAGTATTCTACAGCTGTACAATCTCTCCCCACTACTCACTTCCAAATCCCACCACTCCCCTGTCTTCGCACGCAACCCAGAACTCAATTGCCTGATTTGTCCTTGCCTCCATTATAAGTGACCATATCTTCAGCTCTCCTGATCCTGCAATTCCCTTTCTTACTTGATTTCCTTCTCTTCTAAGACCTTTTTGGGAACTGGTGTTCTTCTAAAGAAGGGTCACAGGGCTCATTGTTGACTTTGTTTTCTCTCCACAGATGCTTCCATTTCTGCAGCAATTTCTGTTTTTGCTTGTTTGTTCCAACTTACGGTTATTAGTTATTCACTTTAGAGTGATAGAGTTGTGCAGCACAGAAACAGACACTTCGGTCCAACTCGTCCATGCTGACCAGATATCCTGAACTGATCTAGTCCCATTTGCCAGCATTTGGCCCACATCCCTCAAACCTTCCTATTCATTTACCCATCCAGTTCCTTCTAAATGTTATAATTGTACCAGCCTCCACCACTTCTGCTGGCAGCATATTCCATACATGCAACACACTGTGTGAAAAAGTTACTCCTCAGATCCCTTTTAAATTTTACCCCCTCACCTTTAAACCTAGGCCCTATAGTTTTGGACTCCCCTACACAGGGGAAAAGACCTTGTCTATTCACCCTATCCATGCCCCTTATGATTCAATAAACATCTATAAGTTCGCCCCTCAGCCTCTGACACTCTAGGGAAAATAGTCCCAGCCTATTCAGCCTCTCCCTATAGCTCAAACCTTCCAACCCCCGAAACATCCTTGTAAATCTTTTCTGAACCCTTTCAAATTTAGCAACATCTTTCCTAGACCAGAATTGAACGCCATATTCTATTAATGATTTTGCCTAAGTTAGCATTCTTCATGTGAGTATTCATCAATTGGCTATTTAGCCTAAGTCAAACCGTACTCCACCTTATGTCAACCAGGTGAGCATTTCCCAGAGACTGCAGCGATCAATTTTCCTCTCTCCAGGGGCCAGGATAATGTTAAAAATCTTGCCATCACTCTAGGAAACAGCAGATAATGGAACTGGGGTCAAACTGGGATTCCTTCTGCTTTTTGTGGCTCTGTACAACATCATATAGAAAATGTACCTAATGAATGCACCATATCCAATTTTTTAAAAAAAATATTAATTCACTTGTACAAGATCACCTGAACTTTAATTTTGTTCTTTCTAAACTTGAGATTATAAACAAAGCTCAACTGTTAGAATCTGTATGAATTTGGAACAGTCAAATCCAATAACTGGTTTTAATGTACCACGCTACACTTTTTAATAACAATGGATTTGTAAGTCAGTAGTTTCACAGTAACTAATCGAACAGGTTAAAATAAGATGCAAGACATAGATATTGACTTCATTCGCCAATAAAGCGCTGTGTGTTTTTTAAGAACAAGAATATTTATTGCGGCCAGAAAAAGAACTCGTGGTCAAAACTAAAAAGTACTGATATAAACCTTCTTTGTGATTGATCCAATTTAATATTGTCGCAAGTTTAAAAAAGAACAAAAATTTAAGTTCAGGCAATCTTGTACAAGTGAATTAATGTCCTGAAAATATTGGATATGGAGGATTCATTGGGTACATTTTCCACATTTATGTTGTACAGAGCTGTGAAAGGCAGGATTCCCAGTTTGACCCCAGTTCTATTGTCTGCTGTCTCCCAGAGTGATGGCAAGACTTGTGACATTCACCTCGCCCTTGGTGAGGGGAAAATTGATTGCTCCTGTCTCTGGGTAACGCTCCTCTGGTCGACGTAAGGTGGAGTAGGGTTTGGCTTGGGCTAAATAGGCACTTGATGCATATTCACATGAAGAATGTGAACTTAGGCAAAATCATTAATATCTCAGCATTAGCTTCTTTGCTTGCAATAAGACTATCCTCTTAGCTCCAAGTAATGCTTACTCTAAACCATCTTTTACTTTTATGTGGCACTCCGTCCATCCAATTAATGGTTTCTCATTCCAGTTATCCTGTTCAGCAACTCTTCTGCATGGTTGACTTGTGTTGAGTGTCTTATCTCATTGATTTCCGGTCTACAACTGTACCTCTGTCTCTTTGTCGTGATCTTCAAGCAATGCTTCCCATTACACTAGATTTCCGGAATAGCAAGACTAACTTATGAGGACAGGTTAAAGCGGGTAGGATTTTAATCAGTGGCACTCAGAACAATGAGGGGACATCTTGAGGAAACCTGTAAAATTCTTAACAGGACGAGACGGAGGAAGGATGTTCCTGATGACCAGGAGTCCAAAACCAGGAATCACATCCTAAAGATACGGGGTAAACGATGGAGGATTGAGATGAGGGGAAATTTCTTCACCCACAAATTGGTGATCCTGTGCAATTCACTACCACAGAAAGCAATTGAGGCCATTGTATGATGCCAAGAAGGATTTGGGGTTAAAGGAACCAAAGGATATCATATACATTTCCTCTTGCACTATTGAATGACAGTTTTGTACCCTCAAACTTTTCTTGTGTCTTCTTTGATTTCCTTCACTCGGGCTAACTGTGGGACAGTGCACCATTCGGAACTCATGTGACTGCAAAACAATCTGTCTCTTGTCTTTGGAGCCTTCAGTTATTACGGTGTTTATGTTTGACAGCAACTTTCTGTTTGATGCTGTCCTCATTATGTTTGAATTCTTGGAAAATGTCTGCATTGCCTTTCTACCCACCACTTTAGATCCTTCAGGCTTCGAAAAGTTGCCATGTTACTCTTGAGTTCAGGAGCAAGCACTCAGAGACTTTTGCATCCAGATGGTGGTGCACGTGCAGAGTATCTGCAACCATCCATATTGTGCAGGCCTCATATGTTACAGGTTCCAGTTGTTCATCTCCTTGTGTGAAACACACATAGAATATAGAACAGTACAGCGCAGTACAGGCCCTTTGGCCCACTATGTTGTGCTGAACTTTTACCCTAAACCTAAGGTCTATCTAACCTCCACCCCTACTTATACTATCATCCATATGCCTATCTAATTGCTGCTTAAATGCCCCTAATGAGGCTGACTCCTCTACCCTCTCCGGCAATGCATTCCATGCCCCTACCACTCTGAGTAAAGAACCTACCTCTGACGTCTCCCCTATATCTACCTCCACTCACTTTAAAACTATGCCCCCTTGTAATAGCTAACTCCATCCTAGGAAAAAGTCTCTGGCTGTCCACTCTATCTATACGTCTGATCGTTTTGTACACCTCTATCAAGTCACCTCTCATCCTTTGTCGTTCTAAAGAGAAAAGCCCTAGCTCTCTCAACCTTTCCTCGTAAGACCTTCCCTCCATTCCAGGTAACATCCTGGTAAATCTCCTCTGCACCTTTTTCAATGCTTCCACATCTTTCCTGTAATGAGGCGACCAGAACTGGACACAATACTCCAGATGTGGCGAACCAGGCTTTTGTATAGCTGGAGCATAACTTCACGGCTCTTGAACTCAATCCCTCTATTAATGAAAGCTAACACACCATACGCCTTCTTAACAACTCTATCCACCTGGGTGGCAGCTTTCAGGGAACTGTGGACATGAACCCCAAGATCCCTCTGCTCCTCCACACTGCCAAGAATCTTTCCGTTAACCCTGTATTCTGCTTTCAAATTTTTCCTTCCAAAATGAATCACCTCATACTTTTCAGGGTTAAACTCCATCTGCCACTTCTCAGCCCAGCTCTGCATCTTATCAATGTCCCTTTGTAACCTAGAACAGCCCTCTGCACTATCCACAACTTGACCCACCTTCGTATCGTCCTTGAACTTACTAATCCACCGTTCCACTCCTTCATCCAAATCATTTACAAAAATCACAAATAGAAGAGGACCCAGAACTGATCCTTGTGGTACACCACTCGTAACTGAGCACCATGTTGAATATTTTCCATCCACTAGAACTCTTTGTCTTCGAAGGGTCAGCCAATTCTGAATCCAATCTGCCACATTTCCCCCTATCCCATGCCTCCTTACTTTCTGCATGAGCTACAATGGGGAACCTTATCAAACGCCTTACTTAAATCCATATATACCACGTCCACTGCTCTACCTTCATCCACATGTTTGGTCACCTCTTCAAAGAATTCAGTAATGTTTGTGAGGCATGATCTACCCCTCACAAATCCATGCTGACTATCATGGATCAAACTGTGCCTATCCAAGTGATCATAATTCCTATGTCTCAGAGCCCTTTCCAATAATTTGCCCACCACTGAAGTAAGACTAACTGCCCTGTAATTTCCGGGGTTATCCCTATTCCCTTTTTTAACAAGGTAATGACATTTGCTTCTCTCCAATACTTTCACACTTAATAGTTCAATATAATGGCAGAGAATTGCAAGCCATTCTTTTGATATTTTCTGCCTATTTTGTTTTACCCTGATGTAAGCTAAACTGAAGAAGGCTGTGAGTTATGAAATGATTTCTGTGTGCTGATTTATACATTTTTTTTTTGCAATTTTCCGGCCTCTTAACATGTTGTGTTAGTTCAGGTACTCTGCATGGTCCTGAATTAAAATTATTGATGTGACGTTCCATTCTTCCTAGATTTTATTGATAAAAGCTACTGATTTTTTATTTTTGTTCTTTTTATCTCCCAGGTTTACAATGCAGGCAGTTCCTGCAACAAAGCTGAGTGAGGTTACTCAAGAAGCATTGAAATGTTCAGTTATCGGAATTGATGAAGGACAGTTTGTAAGTGTGGCCCATTGTGCTTGCTTTACTTGAAATATGTTCACAGTACTGAGAAATCCAACCTGGTCTGAGTCTTTGCACTGAATGCTAATCCCTAGATAAATCTCTTTTAATTGACTGAGCTTGGGGAGTAAGACTTCTGCTGCTTTCGAGAATTGAAGGAATTGTAAAGCTTTTAAGGGTGCTTTCCTGTATGGAAATGTGGTTTAATACCTTTCCTGGTGCCTTCCCAAAGTATAAACCTGGTAGTAATGAACGCAGGGCTCCTCAGCTAGTAAACCAGCGCTGTATAATGCAATGCTTTTCTCAGCTGATATCTACCAACACGCTGTTCCGAGCAATGCAGTTGACTTGGTTTTTTTAAACCCTTGTCCCATCACCATCCTTCCCCAAACTCTCTATTTAGGGATGCTGAAGCAATTGTACACTTATTTTTCATGGCTCAGGTTAAACAACTCATTACAGTACATTAATCAAACTGGAGATCTTCCTATTCCTGCTGGTTCAGGACGACACTAGCCAGTGCATTTGCTTACGGAGTTATTAGGGTCCCTTCATAACTCTGTAGGAGATTCCCATGGATTTAAAGGCTGACACATTAGAATTGATTGCCCTTCTGTGATGTGTCTGAGGATACTTTCCTATGATGTGTTATTATAAAGGCGGGTCAGTGTTCATTTATGTTGCTTACTTTCTTGTGAACCTGAAGAAAGGTGCTGTTTCAGAATGTGGTGTTGAAGTTGTCCTCTCTCTCTCCAGTTTCCAGACTGTGTCGAATTTGCAGAGGAAATGGCTAACAAAGGAAAAACTGTGATTGTGGCAGCGCTGGATGGAACTTTCCAAAGGAAAGTGAGTGAAAAGAACAACTGCATATACTGCAGCCATATGAGTATATCCTCTTCGACTTGTGTGGTGTGTCCAATTGTATAGCTGCATCTTTTACAACCAGCAAACTAGTTTTTTTTTACCTTGGACAGGGAAGCAATGCTTTCTTCTGAAATCGATTCCTTAACCACTTAAGAATTTCTGTCAAGTTCCTGACCCTCCCAACACTTTCAAGCAAAGGGTAGGTCCCCTCCCACACGAAGTATTGCACCAAGGGTAGATTTACTGGTCCCATCACTCGAGGCACTATAATTGATCACTGGTGCACCTTTTTAATGCGGGAGTAACGATATTGAAGTAGGTGGAGGGGCAGTGACTTGCATCTCATTCGGAACAAGTGGTTGTGAGGTGAAAAACACACAATTGTGCTGCACTGAAGGATGCCATTCAGCCCATCTGGAGCTGGTCAGTTTTCCAAACGACCCGTCTACCTAGTCTCAATATCCCTGCACTTTTCTTCTCTTGGGTATATTATTATGAAGGTGTGTTCTCTGAAACGTCAATCCTGAATGTCATTGAGAAAAACAAGCTGTTCAGCTGATGTCATAGTCACAGAGTCTGCAGTTCTTTCAGAAAGGTCACGTGATCCAGCTTGTGGTTACAGTAAAGCTGTTTGATTTGAACAAAAGCCCGAGAACTTACTTTGCTTGCGCACTCTCTCACTCCCTCTCTATTTGGAGTTCCTCTCCTCGAAATTCCAGTTAGTTTTCAAAGACCCCATCACCACAAATGAAGGGTTCCTTAAGGAGACTTCAGAATGTACCCTCACTGTGTCCACATAAAGGGAATTCAGCCAACCATAACTGATCCAGGAAAAGCTTCAGCTTGTGTGGAAAGTGACTTTGGCTACAGATCAGCATTTGGGACAATCTGAATGATTCTCAATCTCTGAAATTAAGTATAATGTAGTCAAAGCACTTTTTAAAAACAAAATCACTGCAGCATGTTATTTTGCTTTCCCCCAGATTGGCATGGTTTGTGTGTGTTATTTTTCAAGAAGGGTCATTGTATATATTTTGGAATTTAAATGTTTAGTTAATAATCCTTTATTATTCTGATTTATAATGGACTAGTTCATTACATGTTACTTAGGGCAATCTGACTTGTTTCCTATCCTGCACTTTATACAGTCTGGTATAATGTAGGCTCAAACTTTGTCGTGACCAGTGGAGGACTGATTAAGAAAGTGGGTCATAACAATATATCCAATTCACTTGAGGTTGTTTCACCACCTTTCCAGCAGTGCATTCCAGATCGTCAATAACATGCACCATCAAAGTAGTTCCCATACTTTCCATCAGCTTTTCTGGAAATCACCTTGAAACTGTGTCTTCAGGTGACTGACCTTCCTGACACTCCATCTATTCTATCTGAATACATCATTGTTTAAGGGTCCCTTGAAAATTGTTTATGCAGGAGAGTATGACTCCAACTTGACAAAGTCTTCCTATGTAATTGAATCCCCCCAGTACAATCCTGGTAAATCATCTCTACCACATCCATGCCCATCTCCTTGTCCTGCAAATCTCCACTCCTGGAATTAACTGGGACTTGTCATTCCTGATTGACGTGAGAGTCAGGAGACAGCATAATTGCTGCATGGCAGCAAGAAATAGCTATTTGTCACTTAAAATGGCACTAGGTCAGTTTGATGTGGCACAGCAACAACCTGTGAAGGAGCTGAAGTCTATTTTAATTATTTCCCGTATCAGATTCCGAGTGATTCTTCTATTTGTTTCTCCAGGCTTTTGGCAACATTCTAAACCTAGTTCCCCTGGCGGAGAGTGTAGTGAAACTGAGCGCTGTGTGCATGGAGTGCTACAGGGAAGCTGCCTATACCAAGAGGCTGGGGAGTGAAACAGAGGTTTGTGTTTGTCTATTTCTCACTTTCTCGATCATTGCTTTGCTCTCCTCTCCTTCTTGAGGAAACTATCCCACTGTGGAGGAAACTGTTGGGTGTCATCTAACATCTTGCCAATTGGCCACTTTTTACTTAGAACCTCCTCTTACTACCTGGGGGTCATAAGTATGATCACAGCGTTGCTCACAGCCCACGTGAGTGAGTAGTGTTTCCTCTATCACAGCAGTGCAATTCTAGTCCCTGGCTTCCCCCATAATTCCTCAGCTGAGGCCTGTTGTTTTGTACACATATTGGACTCTTTGGTCCCTAGGGTTTGATTTCAGATTGTCGGACCCACTGAGCCATTGTAGGAGCTCTAGGAGATTTATTGAGAATTTATTCAGTGATTTGGTAATTAAGTGAAGTATCAGGTGACCAGTGCAGCCACACATACTCTGACAGAAAGTTTACATGTGAGTAGAAGCTTTAACTGTGTGGGTAGAATGGACAGGTTAGCTTATTCTTTGGGTGAACTGTTAGGTCCTTTAAGATATTATACAAGTTGTTGGCGTAGCATCTTTAGTATAGAAAAATCTGTGTCAAGGTGCTGTAAGGTCTGGTAACAGTAACACCGCATCTTTTCTCTTGTTTGCAAACTGGAATTTGCTGCTTTAATACTGACTGCACTATTTCAAGTGGTGTAATGGAATAAAAAAAAACTGATCAGTGTACCAAAGCAAGATTTTTATCAAGGGATGAACAAGCATTCAGAATTGGAAGAATAGAATGGCTGTGTGACAGACATTCAAGAGTTTGTAGCACTAAAATAAGTTGGAGATGTGAAAAAGGAAGAGCCATGAATGCAGTTTTCCTGTGGGTGAACAGATCTGGAGAAATCGTTGGCTCCCATTCGTTTCCTGCTGGCTGAGTACCAAGCACTGATTCCAGGTCCTGCTTCAAGAGAGTTTGATCAACTCTCTCCTGAATCTGTTGGCCAACGGATAACAAGGAAATGCTTGCCGTTGGTGTGTCAAGGTCAAAACTTGCAGTGTGAAGATGGATGAAATGGTTAAAAAATGACAAAAGTGGCTCCAAGTATTTTAGTCTTTGAAGGTACTTCTGAAAATGTACTCACTATTGTAGTGGAAGGGACAGACATTTGGAGTAATGCAGTCTTTTGAAAATAATGGATGGATATTGAGATATAAATATTGGCCAGGAATCCTGCTATCCTTCCAGATAGTGGCATAGGATCGTTTGCATCCACCTGAGACAGCAGGCAAGGATTCTGTTTGAGATGTCCCCAAAAAGATGGAGCAGCTTGCTGTTAGAGATGAAAGTTTGTGGGTTTCAAGTCCCAGTGTAGCACAGAGGCAAGAGGAACATGAATTGAGCCAAAGCTAAGTAAAAGAACCTCTTCAGATTTTTTTTGCCAAAAGTTATTAGATATTGAGTCAATTGAAAACTTTTAGGATTGAACAATGGATTTTATTCAGTAGGAGGTTAAACAGATCGAGATAGAAACCAATAATGATCTGTTGGAATTATGGCACGGATGCAAGGAGCTGAAAAACTCCAAGTCCTAACAGAATGGTTGTGCCATTTTAAAATAACAAATTATTTCCACTGCATGATGTTACCTGTGTTCAGTTCTTTGGACTTTTTTTTCTCGTCTTCTCAGTTTAATTTAATGATAACTTCTTTTGTCTTGACAGGTCGAAGTGATTGGCGGAACAGACATGTACCGAGCAACCTGTCGGCTCTGCTATTTTGCAAATGGTAATCTGTCGCGTGTGGAGAGTGACAAGGAGAACAGCAGGCAGGAGGGTGCACGTCAGTTCATAGCTTCAAAGCAACTTGCCTACAAGGAACAAGGCAAGTCACCAAGAAAACTCTTTGAAAATCTGCAGGTCTGAAATTAACCCTGTAGCCTGTGCCACACCCCAATCTTGCAAATTTTCTCTCCTGCTTTTCTAAAGGTGTTGACCGATGTTTGGTGTAATTGCAACTCTTCAATGCTTTGTCCCGGAAGGTGATCCCTCGTGCAAATCTGGGCAACTCTAAGTTGGTCAGACACATTACAGTCAAGGCTAATCCACTTTTTTCTTCTACATTTGCACTTCCAGTTGGAGACAAGAATATTCACAATGCTGTAGGGTCTGGTAACAGCAGCATTGCATCTTTTCTCTTGTTTGCAAACTGGAATTTACCACTTTAATACTGACTGCACTATTTCAAAACAGGCAAAAAAAAAAAAAAAACTCCCTTTTGGAACTTCTGTTGCATTTTAACTGTGGCAGAGGGACTGGTTCAGTTCTCTTGAACTTCGCACTTTTCCATGTGAGCCAACAACCAAACTGAATTAATCTGTCATCTTCTGCCCAATACTACAAATGCACCTTTCAGCAATCACTAGGTGTGAACAGAATCTAAGAAAATACACCCATCTCTACCCCTGCCCAAAGTTAAAGCAGCAGTATCTAATGCTTAGTTGTTTTTTTAAAAAAATTTATAATTGGGTGCCATGTCTTTATTCAAATAGCCACACAGGAGCTTTACAGCATAGTTCAGTACCCACAATCCTCAATTACTTGCTCTGAAACAGTAAGAGAAAATCTTCCAGTCCCTGATGTGTTCTTTAATTGGTATGTCAATGCAGGTTACTGTGACAGAACTCATTTTGTTGCAAATAATTAACTTTGCAGCTAGAAGCTGGAGACAAGGATTGCTATTAACAGTGGAGTAGAACAGAGTTGGGGGCGGTGGGGAGAAATGAACCTTGTTTATTAGCTATCATCATCTATTTTTAACTTGAGTCAGTGTTAATGGAACCAGTTTAAACAAAAACCATGAACTTTAAAAGTCAATTGATCAATCTCAACTGCCATATAACTATTGATCAATCTTCGCTGCCATTAGAATTGGTGATATTTTAGTGACTAGAATGCTCAGAATAGACCAATGCATCTTAAATCCAAAGGCTGTCAGCTACTTTATATTTGTTTCCAATTTATTTTTTTTTTTTACAATATTTAAAAATAAAAGTGAATTATGTCTGTTATGCCTCATGCATCTGTCATTTCTACAGAATGTGTTTTGTTCAGAGAAACCATATCTGCTTAGAGAAACAAAGTTGAAACTGTCCTTTGGTTTAAGGAAACAAAAACAAATCACAATTGAAATCAAAACTTCTGGGCAGATTGAATGTAGTGGAAAGCACATACAAGGATATAAAAGTTAGAGTCTGGTGGTACACACTTAGGATGACCGGCCAGATGCAGATACCAAGAATAAGCAAATAGTTGCTACTGTTGTCTGTCGCTTTAAGATAACATTACTCGATCCACACCCTCAAAGCTGAGTTGAGGCAATTTTGCAGGCCTTGTTTTAGAATGTGGAAGCCTAGTTGTGTTCTGCTGTGAGCTAGAGACAGCAGGCCTGAAGGGTAGTGGTTAAGTTCTTAGTAAGGATTTGATTTGATTTATTCATTGACATGTGTAGCTAGTACAGGCAGATCAGTAAGCAAGGACATATAAAGGATGGGGGGAAAGAAACTTGGAAGCATACAGGTTACATTGAACAGGGTGTGCATTAGGCATGTTTAACATTAGCAAGGTCAGCATTATTTGAAGTTAGAGTCCATTAAGAGCCAGGAAGAAGCTGTTCCTGAACCTGTTGTGCATGTGTTCAAGCTTCTGTAGCTGCTGCCTGATAGAGGTTGAAGGAAATCATTACAGGGGTGTGACTGTCTTAAGTGGGAAGAGAGTCTTAAATTACCACTAATACAGACATCAGAGTGGCTGCTGAACCAATTCACACAATCTATTTGATTTGTACTTGCCATATATGTAATTTGCAGTTTGAGGTAAACTGCAGTTTACCATAATTCATGTTTAAATCTCATGGAGCCTAGGTTTTAAGAGAGTGGTAGTTATCAGAGAAAGCATGGTCAAACATTAAATACTATGGAAGCAATTGTTTTAAACCACAGTTTTCTAATCTCCTCAAATCAATTTTGTGCCATTGAGGTTGAGCTTCACGACTTATCAACCAGTTTCAAAGCTTACAGGACTTTGCCACAAAAATGGTGGGCCTGTGACAGAAAGCAGTTAAGAAATGAATATGGGTCACTGAACCTGAAACATTAATTGATTTCTCTCCAAAAAGGACAGAAATACAGTTATACAGTATGGGGAGAAAGCAAAATGGGGGACTGATCAACCATGATCATCTCCCACTCCCTAAACCAAAAATTGCTTCTGCCTTGTGGTCAAGCAAGGCCCCAAGATCCCTTAAATTCACTTTTCAAATCAATGACCACATAAGGGCAACAGGTAAAGGAATAGAAACCATCAGCTTCAAGTTCCCCTCGTTCAACCATCCTGACTTGGAAATATGTCACTGTTCCTTCATTGTCAGGGAGTCATATTGCAATCTTTATCTATGCTGTAGGATACACTGAAGTTATCAGTGAATTGAATATCCTACAGTGAAAGCTTATTTTCTGCATAATCATAACTACAGACCACCTGGTCTTAGTCTTAAGACTTTTTTTTTTTTTTTTCAAAAAGGAGTCTAACAAAGTCAGCCAACACCTGCCACTACTTTTGAAAAAGTTTATTTGTACAGTGGCTTGAGCATTATAATCAATAACTTCATTTGAAAGCTTCAGTCCAATGATAAATGCCAATGTAAGCTCCAATACAATCAATATTAATGACAAAGGCATTTGAAGCCACAGCAGGAGAACCAAGATATACATGGTAGAGGGTCACACCAGTTTCTTCTACTTTAGCTGTACAAAATAAAATCTTTGGTTGTTACATGTACAATCCACTTTATTTTAAAATCAAAGTTTACTCTTTAAATACTCACCCATTTGCTGTCCCTATTACTTCAAATGACAACTAAAATGCAACAATCTTCCATCATGAAGTGAAACAAAAACATTTTTTCTTCCAAAGGCACTAGCTCCTGTTATCCATCAGTCCATGGAGTTTGAATATTCTAGAGATCACAGCTAAAAGGAATCTCTTCCCCACACAAAGGCTTTAAAATCAGTAATTTGGTGAGGATCAGTGGATAGTGATCAGAAGTGAAAACTCAGGCTTATTATACAAATAAAACCACATAGCCCTCTAACAGTAATAATAAAAAAAAAGTAAGCCAGAACACTTCCCCAGAAACTGAAATAGACTTTTCACCATTTGGCACTTTTCAATTGTTAGTAACAAGTCAGGTACAAGAGGTATTTGTACCAATGAACATAGACTGAGCATATTGCTGTTAGCTTAAGTTAAAGAAGATCCCCAATTTTATAAATTTAAGTAACCTGGAAAGTTCCCATTGTTTCAACAAAAGCTATCTTCCTAGTGCAGATATTAATTATATTATCAAGTTGCTGTTCAATAGTTCTTTAACTGAGCAGTGCATAAATATTAAAGGCAGAAAAAAAAAGTGTTCATTCGAGCTTTGTATAGTTAGAGTCTTTATACAGTGGATTCAGGTGAAAATTAATAGATTAAAAACTGACAATTGGCACTAGCTTACATACTGTGCTACAGCTCTGCACACCACAGTACAGTGGGAACACAGGCTGTGCTGCTGCAATTTGGTGTGATCTGTTCCAAGTGCAAGCTAGTCGCAGGAGAGGTTTCTGCTCGCAGCTGACAAACAGACCTGTCTAATCCAGAGTCCCTCCACTTGGATGCTGAATTAATGCCAATAATCTGCAGGCCCCAACTGTACTGCAGACGTCTTGCACCAAATTGCCAGTTAATTCATAACACTTTCCCAGTGCAATGGTTGCCAGGTTAATTACTATTTTATATTTAACATTCAATCAATATAAACCACAACGAACCAAAAGCTACATCATATTAACCCATCTTTTAAAAGCCCTCATTTCAGTAGTTTTTAAAAAATACAAAAGATTCCTTTTACAAAAAAAAGTGATTTTGGCTATTAGACAAATTGCAGAATATGAAGTGATACTAAAAAGACCTAACTTAATGAAAGTAACAATTTATTGGTGGATTCCAGAAATGACAGATTTTAATTTTAACGTGGAGAATTAAATAACCTCTCCCAACTCCTCAGTACTGAAGGGGCTGCCCTGAAGAGACAAAACAAAACCCAAAAGAACTGCGGATGCTGTAAATCAGGAACAAAAACACAAGTTGCTGGAAAAGCTCAGCAGGTCTAGCAGCATCTGTGAAGAAAAAACAAAATCAGAGTTAACGTTTCAGTCTGAGGACCTGAAACGTTAACTCAGACTTTCTCTCCACAGATGCTGCCAAACCTGCTGAGCTTTTCTGGCAACTTCTGTTTCTGCCCTGAACAGAGTTTATTTACAGCTATAATTCTGTCTGGGACATGCATGTTCCAGACACCTTTTCTCCCCAGCATTCCTACCATTCATCTAGTGCTCTTGAAAAGCATCTCTGCACAAAATATAAATACCTCAAAGTAGAGGTTAAAGAGGAAAGAAAGTACATGAGCAAAAACAGAAAATATATAGCAGGAAAGTGAAATGTTAACCATGCCAATTCAGGACAGTAGCCATCCAAACTATTAATCCAATGTGTCGCTGCTTAGATTCTGGCTGGTGTACTGAGTATTTTCTGCTTTTATGCAGAAGTACAGCTCTGGAACAAGAAAGTTCAATTCTGAGAGTTGTCAAATTTGATCTTTTTATTTTTGAATATATATTGTCCAGCCAGCCCAAATGAACATTAATTTAAAAAAAAAACTGGTGAAACTCAGCAGGCTTGGCAGAATCTCTGCAGAGAGAAACAGTGAACATTCAGAGTCTGATATAAGTTTTCAGAACACCTGAAGAAAAGAGTCATACTGGACTCAGAACGTTAACCCTTTGTTTTCACAGAGGCTGTCGGACCTGCTAAGTTTCTCCAGCATTTTGTTTTTATTTCAGATTTCGACCATCTGAAGATTAACTAAGGCAATTGGAAAACACCTTTTTAAGATGTTCAAACTGATTGGATCCAGTTTTTTTCTTGTTGCAAACCATATTGGGATGGAAGAGATTACAGAAATTCTAACCCAGTGGGAATAAATCACAAATAAATAAGCTTTGTTCCTAATGCAAATGAAAGTCTCAAGATCAAGACTGGACACCACACATAATGCAGCTGGTTTCACCATTGTCACAAGAACAATGGACCTCTCCCTCTGGCATCTTAGACTCCCATGTACCCAAAACTTCTGATTTGAGTTTGGTATCAGATCAGATTAATTATAAAAGAATATTTTGTAATGCTTTTCATTGAGCCAATATGTGCATAGCAAAAGCTCCCAAAGACAGGAATGTGTTAAGGATGAGTCAATTATTTTTTTGATCAGTTGTAGAGTTTTAAAAAAATAGGCCACAACTCCAGAAGCACTTTTCTTCGAAAGAATGCCATCTGATCTTTGACATCTTCCCTGAACAAGATGCCTCGATTTAATGCCTTCACAATAACAGACACGTCTAGAGCTTCTCCAGTCCTTGTAACTCTGCCTCAGTGATTGAACCCCTGACACTTAAGCAATTTAACCACCCAAAGCAGATTTGCAGTTTGTCCCTGTCCTTAACCACAACATTTCACTTTCCTGGGTTACTTTAACCCGAACTGTGCATGCAGCTCGGATCGCTTACTCAGTTCAAAGATCTACGTAATATATCCATAAACAGAGTATTGCTATAGTCCAAATCCAATGTAGTTTAGATGCTTATAAACATGTCACCACTCATCTGAAATGAAGAAATCCAGCCAAATTTCAAATAAATTCCTTGCAGTACTGTAATGTCAAGTGCACAGGTTATACTCAATTATACATCCTGCCAATATGAAAAAAAAACCTGCCACATTGTCCAACTAAACATTCCAGCTACAAAATAATGAAAACGCCAGAAGATCAATGTGGGATCAATTATTTCACCCATCCAACATTTGGTGAGCTCTTTCTTTTCATGAATGCTTTAAAAGGTTACTATTGCATGTGATAAACTGAGCCATAAGCAGTGGATGACAAGCTGTTCAAACCTCCCTGCAAAAACAGAACAAGTGTTGAACTCTTTGCAAAAAGACTAGTTCAATTTTGGCTCAGCCTAGGGTGTCCCAGGGACGTGTAGCACATAGGAATAAATGGGAACCACTTCCTGAGGAATCTATCAGAAGGGAACACAGGGATGTGCAGCACAATAGTATGTTTCATATAATATTGATATTTAACTGTTCTATTAGGGTCTCTTTTACCCAGGACACAGGAATTTATGAATCAATGACATGATTCAATTGATTGGTACAACTTCTACCCCAATATCCTAAGACTGTTCCCTATGACACTGTGCAGTTAAATAGAACAATCATTCGAAGTTCACAAAGGCTTCAAACCATATCCAATTTCTTTTGCTGGTTATTTAACGATTCAATATTTGTGAAGTACGCAGGCATGAAATAGAGTCTTTTTGCAAGCTCAAAGTGCAGGGCTGTCTGTTATTGAGTGGCAATACATGCTTGGAATTGACAATTTCTCCCAAACTCTGCTGCAACATTAATAGCAGTCCCAGTGATAAACGAGGAAGATGCAAAAGTTAGATCTGTCAATTGGGAAAACCCAGTGGGAAATTTTAACCTCGAGGACAGCAGTGAAATGATCAGAATCTGTTATAGTGTCTTTTTTTAAGTTGTGGAAAAACACAGTGCTGATGAGCATATTCACCATAGCAAAAGTAAAAAAAGTACAGGATCCTTCCCAACCAATCCCTGATTGTGACACATATTCAATCTTCACAAGTTCAAAAATCTAATGTTGAAATTCAAAAGTGTCAGACTCCATTAAGAATCTGCATAAATTTTTCTAAACAGAACAGTTGCAGTGTGAAGGGGTGGGGGGTTTAAATATACTGAAATCCTTCTCTTAGAACAGCAATGAATTCATACGCAGTTGATGGGCAAACTTAAATTCACTTCTTCACAGTCAGTATTTCACCTAAACCTTTGCACTCAGGCTATCATAAATCTAAATCCCAATCTTGCCTCCATAATTCAACTTTTGTAATTCTCAACTAGTTACAATTAGAACACAGATTATGTACATTTCAGTTGTTCATCTTGTACTCCTGCCACAAATTATCACATATCTGCATGTACTCAAATAAACTTTGCATCACACCATAGTCCTTCCATCTTTGAAGTGAACAATGTTTGCTGAAATCTTTACTTCCAGAGCAGGAAGATCTGCAGATGTTAGACTGAACATGTTAAACTTATCCTTCCCTACTCGGTACATTGAGGGTCGTCAACATAATTACGAAACATTCTTCCAATTTTTTTTTTTTTTTACATCAAGTCAAAATTTCCTTAGCCGATGACAGATCATGGATAACCAGAGTTTAAATACAAAGTAAAAACGGTTCCTAATAACCGAGGCCTGAAGCTTCAAACCAAAATCATTCCTTTCAGCTGAAGTGATATTTTCTGACACTATTCTGTCATCAGGAGTGTTTAATGCTGCACTAAAAGAAGTTTTACCCTGAGCTTGCACCCACTTTTTAACTTCACTCATGGCCTCTATTTTCTACCTATCCTACTGCTGCCAAACTCTCTCCCTTTACAATGCAAGTCACGTTTAGCAACTGTGGGCAGCTCTAGCGTTTCCTTGGGACTGTGGCTCACACCACTCTGGTGCAACTTTTAAATTGTCAGTGCATAGTGACCTGTGCACTTCACTAACACAAAAGCACGTTGTTCAGGAAAGGTTTTTTGGGTAGTGCTTCAGGAGGAGGATCTGATGGACAATACTTGATTGAAGTTTAAATAGAATTAAAATAGTTTGAGCCAAGAGGGATCACATCAAGCTGGTGGTTCTGGTGTCTCAGGCAGCACAGGAACAAGATGATTTTCTATAAACAGCTCTTGCTGATGATGCCTTTGGCAAAATTAGAATCAGGGTTCTGATCAGCAAGTTCCCAAACCCATGCAATCAATGAGGAAATGTACCAAGCATATGGAAGGGAGAATCCTAGTCCCAAAATTTGAGGGTTAGGCTTTGCAACATATACTGGCAACATACACAGTTGGGTGCCTGTAAATTACATGTTGTGGAAAAAAGTGCTCTTAACTCAATTAAAACCAAGACTGGTTACCTAGTTAATAACTGTAAAGTGGTTCTGAATACATTTAAAATATCCTGTTAGTATACAATATTATCAAGATAATGATAATATTTAAACAGTAAAGATTGAAAGAGCAATGCTGGAAAGTGAAACTTGCAACATCTTTGTGTTTGGACGAATGGGATCTCAGGTTGAAAGGTTAACTTGAAGAGTTGAAAAGAGAAGGGAGGGAAGTGGGGCTGTGTCAAACACTCTCCTTTGCAGCTGTGGGCTGCTGCTTACAGATGCCAAGCATAGACTTGCCATCCCTTCACTGTGAGGAGGTGATAGCGACGCAGTGACACACACACACACACACACACACACACACACACACACACACACGATGGCCAGTGGGTATTGCAGGAAACCCGGCAGCACACGTTCCATCTTCATGGAGGGCAAGAGGTCAGGGCATTATAGCTGAGGAAAGAAAAAAAAGAGGCGATGGGGTAAAGCAAGATTGGAAATAAAAACTATTATTGTAACAGCGAGTGTCTTTTCCTGCTTGACGTTGTATGGTTCAGTTTGCCTTGTACTCCAGGAGCTGCAGGCAGAACTGCTCACTTTGCTTTAGTACATAGGTGGCTTGTAATCCTCAGATTCCGACTGGGCAGCGTTACCAAATGGCGGCTGCTGGTAGTTGTCAGTAACATTGGGATACGGAGGGTAATCATTTGATGGATCCACATATTTCTCTTTGAAGTCCTCTGCACCCATGCAATACCTCTTGTAGGCAAAGCAAGATAGCAATCCCTAAACAGAAAGCAATGTCAAGAGTTAAGGTCAGGAATTAAATCATCCCTACTTTCCATCATACATCAAGATTTACAGCCGAGCCTGGATGTGTGGCGCAGGGATTTCAGTAAAGTGTGGATCACTTTTCCTGTACATAAAAATCACGCTGGCTGCACACTTCATTGCCGTTTTCACCATACTGCACAGACACACAGACCAGTTAGTCCACCAGTCAGTGTTCTTTGCGGTGCCCTTCCCATTCTTGGTTATGTAATATAGCTAATTACTGACTCTTAAAACAAAAGTTCTTGCAATGAGAGCGTCACTGGCAAAACAAGCATTTATTGTCCATTTTCAAGTGTCCTCTAGAAGGCAGAAATGAGCTGTCTTCGTGAAACACTAACGTCAACACAGTGGTCTAGGTACACCCACAAGGCTGATACAGAGGGGTTTCTAGGATTTTGAATCAGTGACAATGAAACGATGGTGATTATTCCCAATCCAAGTTGGAAAGAGACTTGGAAAGGAAAGAGATAGAATTCTCTCCTCAAGCATCGAGATTCCGCCCTATTTGTCACTGTCTTAACTTCAAAGAGCATCTTGCATCTTTGAAGAGCTTTAACAGGGGTAACAATTTTAGGCCATTTTAACAGTTGATCCACCATAGGTCTTCCCCAGATAAATACTGATAGAAGCTGGTGCATTCCCTATTAACAGAGCCTTCTACTTTGCATAACTGAAGAGAGCACGACAGCCAATTGCAATTACTGGAGATCAGACATCTCGACTGACCTACCCGCTTGTCATATTACACCTGTAAGCACCTTTAGATTTCATATGAAGGTATGGCCACAGGTTGGGGATTTTGCGGTGATGGTACTTTTCAGGGGTTGTCACAGTGGTAGCAAAAAGAAATAGGTGACAGTGACAAATCATAAGACTGTGTGCATTATAATGGCCAAAATTTGAGGACTCGTGCCATTTAACACACAGTCATACAGAAGAGAAACACAAACATTGGTCCAACATGTCCCTGCCAACCAGGTTCCCAAACTAAACTAGTCCCACCCGCCTGTGTCTGGCTCTCATCCCTCCAAACCTTTCATATTCATGTACTTATCCAAATGTCCTTCAAAATGCTTAACTGTACTTTCATCCACCACTTCCTCTAGCAGTTCATTCCACACACAAACTGTGTAAAAGAGTTGCCCCTCATGTCCTTTTTAGAACTTTCTTCCCCCACCTTAAAATATGATCTCTGGTTTCGAACTCTCCAACCCTAGGGAAAAGATCCTTGTTATTCATCTATGCTCCTCATGATTTTATAAACCTATATAAAAAAGGTCACCCATCAACCTCCTACACGCCAGTGAAAAAAATCCAGCTTATTTTTACAATTCAAACCCTCCATTCCTGACAACATCCTGGTCTCCATTCCGAAAAACAACCATCCTGTCTCCTACCGTTAGGCCAATTTTGTATCCAACTGGCAAGCTCACCCCGATTCCCATATGATCTAACTTTACTCATTAGCCTACCATGTGGATATCTTAAAGACCTTTGAACAGCATAAGAGGAACTTATGGAAGAAATTAATTGTGTAATTAAAAGAGGCAATTCCTTATTTTCCTGATGCACTGTCTCTTTAGCTTCTTGGAAAATAGTGAGAAGTTCATCAGAACTGTTTCCTACTGAAACTAATGGCAATCTCAATTTTTTCAGAGATAGTAGGAACTGCAGATGCTGGATAACAAGGTGTAGAGCTGGATGAACACAGCAGGCCAAGCAGCAGAGGAGCAGGATTCCTGAAGGGTCAGCTTTCCTGCTCCTCAGAGCTGGCTGAGCACAGTAGGGCAAGCAGCATCAGAGGAGCAGGAAAGCTGACCCTTCAGGAATCCTGCTCCTCTGCTGCTTGGCTTGCTGTGTTCAGCTAGCTCTACACCTTGTTATCTCGCAATCTCAATTTTCTTGTCTTTAAGCCATGCTTTGATGATGCTGCACTTTCATTTCTCAGGCGAAGTATCGACATAAATTACACTGCTGTAAGGTTTCCTATGGACTGGTGTTTGATGAAACCAGTTTTTCAGTTCACAGGCTTTTAAAGTCCCAAGCCACACACAAAACATGTCTCTTGACCCCAATTAGCAGCATCAGGAAAACGGTCAAACAATTCAGACCACTCCCGTAAATAATACAAAGCAGTCGACTTGGGAGGTGGCTTGATCCCTGGAGATAAACTCATTTCACCTGACACATGGATTATTTTTCTACTGACAGACACGTTAAAAACTCTTCTTTTATAAAGACAGACAGTAATCATTTGACCTGACACCAGAACAAGCAACTGATGAATTGACAAGTCTGCCTAAATGAATAATTGTTTCCACATTAGCTTTTAGGAATCCAGTAAGACATTGATATCCGAATGGTATGCATTCAATTTCAAGAAAACAACACAAATATTGTAATGAACATAGATCACCTTAATTCAATTTTGTTTTATTTGTCTATTTAAAAATTTAAGCAGTCCCATTATTGTTACTACATCTTCAGAATGACAGCAGCTTTAAAGGCGTAGAATAAGAATATTTGACACATCGTGCCACACCAGCTCATTAAAGCAGCATCATTACCTAGTGTCACTTGCCTGCTTCTTGCACATTATTATTTTTAACCAAATAATCGTCTTCAATCGCCTTAATTTAACCTGCCTCCACCACATTTCCAGGTAGCGCATTCCAAACCATCAGTACTCTGATTTTTCCTCACTTCATCTTAGTTTTTTTTCCCAAATCACTATAAACCATTATCCTTTTGCTGTTGTTCCTTTTAAATGAACAGGAACAATTTATTCCTATCTACTCTATCCAGCCCACTCAATTTTGAAAGGCATCAGTTTACTTCTTAAACCTACTTCTCTCCAAGGAGAAGAGTCTGAACTTTGGTTGATCTATCCCCATAACTGAAGTTCCTCATCCCTACAACCATTCTGTAATTTGCCTCTGCATTCTCTCCAATACATTCATATCCTTTCTATAAGGAGGCCCCTACTACTGTATACAATATTCCAGCTGAGGTCTAACAAGTGTCTTACACAAGTTAGACATCACCTTCTTCTTGTACTCGATGCCCTTATTAATAATCATCAGATTTGAACTAAATTAAATCAGTTGTGGTTCACAGTATAGCCACATAGTCCTGTTAGCCAATGTATTGCAGGTTTTCTCCAGTAAAACCTGTTAGAACAGTTCCAAGTGCCAAATCACCCCAAAACCCATTCTCAATGTCACTCACAGCTCTGCAATTCATCAAGATTAACTTGCATAAGTCTTCCAGAAAAATAAACTACAGTGACTTTTTTTTTTAATGAAATGGTTTATTCAATTTGTTTAATTAATCCCAAATATCAAAAATGTTGCTGGTCTTGCTAATGGAACAGCAATTAGACAAGATTGAACTTCTCTTTTTTTGAAGCCTGTAGTTGTCCCCCTTTGTAGGAGTTTTTTAAAACTATATTCTTCCACAGAAGTGGCAAGATCAGCATTTGTTGCCCATCTCTAAATGCCCTTGAACTGAGTGGCTTGATAGGCCCTTCCAGAGGCTATTAAAAGTCAACCACATTGCTAGGTGTCTGATGTCACATGTAGGCCGGTAAAAGAAAACAAGAAAAAAAAAAAGAACTACGGATATTGAAGATCTGAAACAAAAGCAGAAATTGCTGCAGGTCTGGGTGGGGAGAAAGTAGAGTTAATGTTTCAGTCCGATGACTCTTCATCGGAACTATCCAGAGGTGCTTAATCATGATGAGATGCAATCCTGTGGGCTCATTCACTTTTAATTTTATCCATTGGAATCTTTGGTGGTACTGTTTATGCGCTATTCCTCAAGAATGAGACAGGGCAGACATCATAGTACTCCCTGACATTCACCTACTCTTTATCTACAGTGATCCAGAGCAGAATTGTAGTCAGTTCTCAACATCTTTGGTGTCCAATACTGGCTAGGGATCAAACTAAAATTATGACTTGGCTCTGCTATAGCCAGTGAATTTTCCAACTAAATACTGGCACATCATTGCAATGTTTTAATTGCTTCTTTTCTTACACCACGCCCCCAACTTTCTCTTTCCTTGAAGAACTGAAAAAAAAAACAACCACGTTTTTACAAGCCTTATCCTGGAAGGAGGAAAGCGTCCCATCAAAGGATTTTATGTTAAAATAGTCTCTACATGTCTATTGGAACAGATGAAGAAAACAGCAGTAAGAAAATGCTCTCCGACTTACCCAGCTAAAAATGGAGAAGAACGAGAAGGCGATGGCAGACCGTGCACTATCCGCACCCACTTCTGGAACAGTAGTTCTGGACACCCATTGATTGGTGAGGAAACAAAAGCCAACAAACCACAGGAAGGTCCAGCAGCCTATGAGGACAGCAAAACCAGTCAAACTTATCAGTAGCTACTCACAAATCAGCACCAGTGCAGACATTAGTCTGACAACAACCCACATTATTCCACATACTGGAGATTGGTGTAAAATAGATTTTAAAATTGAACAGTCAGCCACCGACCACTCACTCCGATATACGAATATGAAATTAAGGGTTCACACCTTGCCTAGCACAGAACCTCAATATCAATGCCAAAGGAATGCTGGGACTGATAGTTCAAACATCCTGAGAGATTGCACAGTGGTGCCCCAGATCACGATTCATGCATATGTAAGAGTAGATCTCAGTAGGGAATGACTATGAATATGAGGAAATCCACTGAAGTTCAAGAAATAAAGTTAGAGAAAAATAGGCAAGTGACACAGAAAATAAGAGCACCTATCAAAAAAAATATAAAGCACAACAAAAGCTTTCTTCAAAAACATTAGCAGCAAGAGAGGGATACAGGACAAGAGCTGTTTGACCATTAGCGTGAGCAGTTAGGAACCATATACTAAAAGACCGCCAAAACTTGTAAAACTTAAAGTGGTTTTTTAAAAAAAGTCAGAAAATTATTCAAGGGGAGAAAACAGATGCCAAAGTTAAGAGGAGAACAAAGCCTAGGATTTTCAGGTGCAAATTCTTGGTAGAGTGTGATTTAGGGAAGTGAAGAGATGCGAGATTCTAACCAATTCAGTCAGTCAGAGGTTGACAGAGTTGGTTAAGGAGACTGCAAAACCCCTTCACAACATCCAACTGAAGCCAAGTAACATTCTAAACAGAGTCAGAGTTGTACAGCATGAAATCAGACCCTACAGTCCAACTCGTCTGCACCAACCAGATATCCTAAATTAATCTAGCTCCATTTGCCAGCATTTGGCCCATACCCCTCTAAACCATTCCTATTCATATACACATACAGATGCTTTTAAATGTTGTAATTGTATCTGCCTTTACCATTTCTTCTGACAGCTCATTCCATACATGCGCCACTCTGCGTGAAAAAGTTGCCACTCAGGTCTCATATCTTTCCCCTCTCACCTTAAACCTATGCCCTCTGGTTTTGGATTCCCCCACCCTAGGAAAAAAAGACCTTAGCTAGTCACCCAATCAATGCCCCTCATGATTTTAAGCCTCTATAAAAAAGGTCACCCCTCAGCCTCCAACACTCCAGGAAAAACAGCCCTAGACTATTCAGTCTCTCTTTAGCTCAAAACCCTCCGACCCTGGCAACATCCTTGTAAATCTCACCGGAACCTTGGAGTGGAAAGTAGAAAAATGTGACTTCACTGCATGTAAAAGAAAGGAAAATGTGTAAGGGATGGAGCCATGAAGCAGCCTGACAAGGTTTAACTGCACTGGGGAGAAAAAAGTGACCAATACTTTGAGATGATAACAAAAACAAAAGCATTTGCAAATGCAGGATATTGCCAGACGGCCACTGTGGGTTTAGGAAGGGCAGTTTACATCTGAACATTTTGAACCATTTTCCTTGAAGGGATTGCAGGTTAGTGAACAGGATGATGGGGTATAAGTAGTGAAGCAGGAGAGGCTGGCCCTCTGAATTTTGACAGCACCACTTTTGACTTGGAGAATGGAATATTCAAGGTATCTAAGTTTATAAATGGCAAACAACGTGCAGGGGATGATAATGCTTACTGCAACATGATAACACAGAGACCTGAACAGGTTCAAGCACCAATCGTGATGACAGTTGGAACTGCATGCAATTTTTTTTAAAATTGCCAACTGTCCTTCAGAAAATGGCGGCGAGCTGGCTTTTTGCATCACTGCAGTCCGTGGAACATAGGGAAACTCAGTGCTACTATAAACGGAGTTCCAGAATCTTGACCCAGCGATGTTGAAGTGTTGGTGATATATTGCCAAACCATTCAGACCAGCAAATGGCTTGGTGGGGAACTTGTGGACAGTGGTTTTCCCATGAATCTGTTGTCTTTGGCCTTCAAGATGGACAAGGCTGTGGCCTTGGAAGGTTTTAAAGCAGCCTTGGCGTGTTGCTGCAGTGCATCTTCTAGACGGTACACACTGCTGTCATTGTGTGTACTGGTGGGACAGTGAGTGGGATTGCTACCAATCAAGCAGGCTGCTTTGTCCTAGATGGTGCCACGTTTCTGGAGTGTTGTTGAAGCTGCACCCATCCAGGCAAGTGGGGAGTATTACATCACACTCCTGACTTATGCCTTGGAGCTGGCAAACAGGATTTGGGAGACAGAGGGTTCTGAGGAAGGGTCACCGGACCCGAAACGTTAACGCTGTTTTTTCCCTTCACAGATGCTGCCAGACCTGCTGAGCTTTTCCAGCAACTTTGTTTTTGTTCCTGTGTTAGGGAGACAGAGCCTGTTCACCTGCTGCAGAATTCACAGCCTCTAAATTCAACAAAGGAAGTGCAATTCATGACACTAAGTGGAAGCAAGAATACAAGTTGTTTGAATTGGTGATATACTCGAGGTGACAGTAGGAACGTGACAGTGTTTTGAGAGATGGGCCAGAGGCAGGATCAGTGCTTGCAGACAGTGAAGCTACAGCAGCAAGAGCTGGGACTATGACCTGCAAGTCTAAGGGGGTAAATGCTGAAGCTGTATCAGGTCCTGGTGAGAGGGTGCACTGAAGCACCGAGTTCAGCATTACTTATGCAGGAAGTGTAGGTTTATCTGAGCGAGGTCAGTCATAGGAGGCTGATTTTGATGCTGAGGGGGCTGAGCTATAGGGAAAGATTGTCAATCCTTGTAATTTTTATTTCAGACAAGAGGAGGATAGCTAGGATAGTAATCTTTAAAGAGTTTCACTGATACAGAGAATGTGGATTTAAGACTATTCTTTAGGGGCCAGGATTAAAAAAAAAGACTATTTTAAAAGACATACAATCAGCAAATAATCATCCACTTGCTGGAAATGTATGACTGGGAAGGCAGACTCTCTTTTTAAAAAAAATGCGAAGAGCAGAGTAGGTTAGATGGACTGATAGTTTTCTGCTCTCACCCAGAACATGATATTGATACTCAGGGTTTGATTTCCTCGTAATGTTTTGCAGCATATGACTGAAAACAAAAGACTGCATGCAACGAGTTGGTAACTAACCTTATTGCTTCCTCCTGATCATCGTCAAGCAAGTTTAAAAAAGTCAGGCCTGGGACATTCCTGTACTATCTGATACAAAACTACATGAGGTTTAAATTCAGGAAGCAATATTTGGAATTTACTTAGTTTATCAATTTGTGAAGGGTATTGAGAAATAAGCCACAAGCAGCAGCTTACTTAAGACATATCAAGCATTGACAAGGTGCATACCTGCAGCACAACTGTACCCAAGACTAGGAGTCAGAGTTTTGCAGCGATGGAACTGCAAACCACACTTAACCACTTTTTTGTTTTGGGTGCAGGTTGTGTTTGGGGGCGGGGGGAGAGGGGAGGGTCAAGTTCCTGTTTACTGATTCAATATGACAGGATCAGAGCGGCGAGTCAGCAACAAAACTGTAACTAATGTCAGACATTGGGTAGGTGGTGAAGTTGTGGTTATGTCACTGGACTGGTAAAGTTCTGGGGTCATGGCAGCAAATCTTATCATGGCAGATAGAGAGATGTGAATTCAATAAAAACCAGGAATTAAAAACTAACCAAATGGTGACCACTGTTGATTCTTTTAGAATCATAGAATCCCTACCATGTGGAAGCAGGCCATTCGGCCCATCAAGTCCACACCAATCCTCCAAAGAGCATCCCAACCAGACCCATACCCTTATCCTATCCCTGTAACGCTGTATTTCCCAGGACACTAAGGGTAACTTAGCACAGCCAATCCACCTAACCAGCACATCTTTTGTAAAAATGGCATCTGGTTCACAAATATCATTGAGGGAAGGAAATCTGCCATCCTTACCTGCTCTGCTATGTACAAAACTCCTGACCCACAGCAATGTGGTTGATTCCTAACTGCTCTCTGGACAATTAAGGACAGACCACGAATGCTAGCCTAGCCAGCAACACTTACATCTCAAACAACATTTTTTTTTTTTTTTTTTTTTTTACATAAACTTGAAAACCAGGTGGAAAAAAAAGTAATCAAATAACAGGTTCTGGCAATGGAATAAACATTCAGAATCTGAGTTTTAAATGGATAAATCTTGCAGTCAAGAGTTGTAAAAAAAAAAAAAAAACAAACCGGAAATAGATGACAGGTTGGAGGATGTTTACAAAACTTTGTTGCTCAGGTTCAATAGATGGCTGGAAGCAATGGTCACTGCAGACACAACGGTCGCATAGCTGTCCAGGGAGTGTCACAACATTAAATCCACCATAAGGGGGAGGAAAAATAGTACTTCATATAATGCAAATAACCAAGAAAAGCAATAAATAAGTACTACACTCAAATGTGAAATAAAAGTTGGATTGCCTGTCAACTAATACCACCCAGGAGACAGTTGCATTTTGCTGTTGCTTCCTTCACTTCCCTTCTTGACAAGATTCCCCACTTCTGCTGCAACCTGATCGAACCCTGCAGGACGGACCCATTGGGGTCTGCCACCAAGTCATTCTGCATGGGCATATCTCAACACAAGAGCTGGTTGAGAGAGATAGCGCAAAAGCGCAAATGGAATCTAGAGACCAGTCTAGAATTGCTCTTCAGAAGATTCATACCAGACTCAAATGTTAACTCTACTTCTCTCCATAGATGCTGCCAGACCTGCCCAGTTCCTCTAGTGTTCTTGTGGTTATTTCAGATTTCCAGCATCCACAGTATTTTGACTTTTACTAGAACTGTTGGAGTTTTGCTCCAAGGATACAAGCAGTGGTGTAGCGCACCACTGCCTGACCAAAATCAGTTACACAACCAGGCCTACATGTTCCTGGTTCATGTTGTAGAAAGCTGCAACACGAAAAAGGGACTTAGAGATACTTGTGCACAAAACACAAAGATAGCACACCGGGACAGTAGGTAATCAGGAAAGCTAATGGAAGGTTGGCCCTTATTTCAAGGGAGTTGGAATGTAAGAATAAGGCAGCTTTTCTGCAACTGTACGAGGCACTGGTGAGACCACATCTGGAGTACTGTGCGCAATCTTGGTCCCCTTATTTAAAGGAATGATTATCATTTCAATGAAGGGTTTCAGAGAAAGTTCACTGGGATGATCTCTGGCATGAAGATTGTGTTTTCAGCAAAGGTTGACCATATTGGGACTCTATTCATTGGAGTGTAGAAGAATGAGAGGTGATTTTTTTGAAACATATAGGATTCGCAAGGGGCTTGAAGGGTAAATGCCGAGAGGATATTACCCCTCATGGGAGGGTCTAGGACCAGAGGGCATAATATTAAAATAAAGGGGTGTCAATTTAAGGCCAAGTTCGGGAGGAATTTCTTCTCCGAGGGTTGAGTGTCTTTGTTTCCTTGCCACTGAGAGGTGTGGGGCAGAGTCCTTGTCGGATTATTTGGTAGGGGAAATCGAAGGTTATGGGAAAGTGGACATGAGGAATGTCAGATCAGCCATGATCCTATTAAATGGTGCAGCAGGCTCAAGAGGTCAAATGGCCTACTCTGTTTCCTATTTCTTATGGTCTAGTTTGATAGAAACCGCACGTTGAATTAACCAACTTCAAATTGCATGGGACAGTTTTGTTCATAGGTAGTTCATTTAATTTCTAGTGTACAAGCAGAAATACTTAAGTTTTCCTGACTTCCCTTGGTAAATAAACAAGGCCTTTACTCAATCCTTCAGTACAGATATGATAAGCTCACCTATGAGGCAGCCCCAGATACCAATAGCCTGAAGCCTGGCCTTGGCTAAGATACAGTGTTACAAAAGGTGTTATTTCCTCCCCTACATTTTATTGCAGCAGTTTAAGGCAGAAAGTAGGGACAGACAATAATTGCTAGCCCAGCCAGTGATGCTCATATCCCGCGAGTGATTTAAAAAAAAACAAACAACTTTCTACCTGAAATTCCAAGGTCAGCCATAACGATGTGCTTGCGCTGGTCAGCATTGCTGATCCGAGGGAAATAGACATCAAGAGCAAAGAAGACAATGCAGAGGAGAAATGCAATCACACCAATTCCTACACCATAGTGACAAGCATTCGCATTCTCATTGAAGATACAGTTCAGCTGTGAAGATTGATGTGTATTTATGTAACCCTCGCTCGTGATGCAGCCAAATACAATTATTGAAAAGACCTGGAAGAAAAGAAAAAAAACACAACACAATCCAAATTTATTATGTGCGATAAAGAAAGGCATGTATTACTATAGTGGCTGCAAGATGTTCCAAAGAACTTAAATACAACACGCAAGGCCCACAATACCACATACTTCGTGAAAGCTGGTGTGTGACCAACACCCCACTCTTGCAGTTGCAAGTCTAAAAATTGAAGTGGCTTAAAATCAAATCACAATAAAATTCACTATGACTCTCACCGCTTGGTAAACTTCAGGGCTTCCAAAAGGTTTTGTTCTGAAACAAGCTGCATTCGCACAAATTCCACGGATTCCAAATCAGTATCTGGGACTCCCGAATAAAGTTTACTAGCTATGGTAGTCGTGTACTCCAGCGCAACACTCCCTATTCTCAATGTGTGCTGTACAGTTCTCTTACACACACCGCTGACAAATAATGGTTAATTCAGATTAGATGGTCTATGCAAATATTTTAATTTTTAAATCTGTGCAACATACCCACCTTAGTCAGTAAATCCATATTAAAAAGTGTAAACTTGCTTTTATGTAAAATTCACTAAATATTAAGTCATTTCTGGGAGAAATCCAAAGATTGGCCCATGCTTAATGCTCTTCTGTTGCTTCGATTTTTCATACAATGCCATCAGCTGGATAATGCACATCGCTGGAGATAAAGCAAGAGTAGGCCAGCAGCACTTCCTGGATAATATCCATAATTGGAAAGCCAGACTGCAGTTGTTACTTATTTTTATGCATGAAGGAAGATCTCTGCAGAGTTGATTGGAAACTGGATTCTTAGCCACCAACAGGTTTCTACTACTTAAACAGCAGTAAAGAAATAAGGGAGAACACTGCACTAAGACAGTCAGAGTCATACAGCATGGAAACAGACCCTACACTCCCCAACTCGTCTGTGCCAACTGGATATCCCAACCTGGCCTAGTCCCATTTGCCAGCATTTGGCCCATTTCCCTCTAACCCCTTCCTATTCAAATACCCATCCAGATCCCTTTTAAAATGTTGTAACTGTACCAGTCTCCAGTGCTTCCTCTGGCAGCTCATTCCATGCATGCACCACCAACTAGGTTACCCCTTATGTCCCTTTTTAAAATCTTTCCCCTATCACCTTAAACCCTCTAGTTTTGGTCTCCTCTACCTGAGGAAAAAGACCTTTGTTATTCATCCTATCCATGCTCTTCATGATTTTATAATCCTCTCCACAGGTCACTCCTCAGCCTCCCGTGAAAAAGCCCCAGCCTATTCAGCTTCGCCCTATAACTTTGGGGAAAATAACTTGTATATGAATGTTACTTAAAATAAACTGACTTGAAGATTAACATGCTCATGCATGAAAATATCCTTTACAAACCCGTGACATGGATAGCTTAAGAAGCTGGTTATAATCAGACAATTCTGAATCATTGGACAGCACTAATATTTTTAGAATTTAATAACATTACTGGAATATAATTTTATTAGAATCAATTACAATTCACAATAATGCTTCAAAGTCCTCATGCAACGCAAGATCAGCATGTTTTCAAGCTGGAGTCAGTGTTGTGCATTATAATTGGGGAAGACTACATTATTGAATCTGATGGTTCAAACAGCAACCAGCTTTCCCCACTTCTATGACATTATTCAAAATTTAGAGCCTTTATTCATCACTGAGCAATCAGGCAGCAAGTAATCTTTTGGTTTGATCAACAATCATAGCTCAATATTTCAAAGAAGGTCATGGGTCTTCGTTTTATGTTTGCATCAAATTGGTTTTTCACTGAAACAGTAAGCTGCCAAGTCTGGCTAGGTTTATTCCCTGCATGTTTCATCATGTGATCCCTCACCAACTGCAAGATCCAATCATACAAACATTTTCTCCTATAAGTATGAAATGTATATTACACGCACGCACACATACACACGCGCGCACGCACACACAAAATTGAGAATAATGCTCTGGTGATGTTTCTCCTGGGTTGACTTGCAACTAATTCCTAGGCGTTAATCTGGATTCTTCAAGAACAACTTTTTGAATTGTTGGCAACCTTGACAAACCTAGGTTTGAATTTGAAAAACAGACACTCCACATGACATCTCCCTGTATGTATTTCCATAGCACTGCCAACACTTTCTCAATGACTGTTTATTATGCAGAAACACACGATGCTTGCATTCCAATAGCATTGAAGCGTGACTATTTATAATTTTCCCCGAGATTGAGAGACTGGAGTCTTGACTGAATTTCTAATAAGGCTATATAGACTTTAGCAAGACCTTCGACATGGTAGATTGGTTAGTAAGGTTGGATAACATGACTATATTTCATAAATTGTGATCCAGGGAAAGCTAGCCAATTGAATACAAAATTGATTTGACAGTAGGAGACAGATGGTGGTGGTTGAGGGCTGTTATTCAGTCTGGAGGCCTCTGACCGGGCCGTGCTGCAAGGAAATTGGTGCTGGGTCCACTATTGTTAGCCATTTATATAATTTAAGTTTGTGGATGACACCAAAATTGGTGATGTAGTGAACAGTGAAGGTTATCTAAGCGTACAATAGGTTCTTGATTAACTGGGCCAAGAAGTGACAGGTGGAGTTTAATGCACATAAAAATGTGAGGTGTTGCATTTTGGCAAGACAAACCAGGACTTATACACCTAACGGTAGAGCCCTGGGAACGCAGTTGAACAGAGAGACCAGTGCAGGTACACAGTTCCTTGAAAGTTGCATCACAGATAGACGGTGGTGAGGGCGTTATTTGGCATGCTAGCCTTCATTGGTCACAGCACTTAATACAGGAGTTGGGACACCATGTTACAGTTGTATAAGACATTATTAAGATAACATTTGGAATACGGCATACAATTCTGATTAACATCCTTCCTAGAGTATGGCATTAAACTGGAAAGGGTGAAAAAAGATTTACAAGGATGTTACAGAGACTGGAAGGCTTGAGTTATAAGGAGAAGCTGGGACTTCTTTCCCTGGAGAGTAGGAGGCGGAGGAGTGATCTTATAGAGGTTTATAAACGTCATAAAAAGGAGCACAGATAAGGCGACTAGCCAAGGTCTTCTCCCCCAAGGTAGGGAGTCCAAAACTAGAGGACATAGGTTTAAGGCGAGAGGGGAAAAGATTTAAAGGGACCTGAGATGCAACTTTTTCCACACACAAGGTGGTGCACGTATGGTATGAGCTGCCAGAGGAAGCGGTAGAGGCGAGTATAATTACAACATTTAAAAGACATCCGGACAGGTACATGGAGAAGAAAGTTTAGAAGGATATGGGCCAAATGCAGGCAAACAGGACTAGCTCAGTTTAGAGCTGGTCAACATGGGATGAGCTGGGCCAAAGGATCTGTTTCTATTCTGTATGACTCTAAACTTAAGCAGCAAGCTTACATAACCGTAATTTTGAAGGACTGTAGCAGGATAGGAAAGCGACTGCAGGAAATGACAAGTGGACTTTTATCTATACTTCTCCATTTTGCTCCTTTGCTACATACAACATTAAATGGTGTATGATGAAAAATTAGCTTGCTAGCAGGAAACAGTATACATAAATTGGTTACATGCTAAGTTGTGAAAGACAAGTGGTGTACCACAAGAATCAATGGTAGGACCTCAATGGATTAATAGTTGTCTAAAAGGCTTGAGGGAACAGAAAGGTATGACTTCCAAATTTACAGAAGACATAAAATGGTAGGTAGGAAAATAAATTGTGAAGAAGATACAGAGGCTAAAACGAGGTGTGGAAAGTTTAATTGAGTGGGAAACAGTCTGGCAAATGGAGTATTATGTGGGACAATGTGAAATTATCCATTTCAGAAAGCAAAATAATCAAGCACAAGGGAATGATTGCAGAGTTCTGAGATGTAAAGGGATCTGGGGTGCCCAAGCTCATGAATTGTAAAAGGCTGGTCTGCAGATATTGGTATTTGGTAAAGGTAAATGGTAATTAGGAAAGCTAAAATCAGATTATCGGTGATTGCAAACTGAATCAAATACAAATACAGGTAGGTTATGCTTCCGTTATACACAACACTGGTGAGACCACACCTGGACTGTGTGTAGTGTACTGGTTACCTTAAAGGAAGGATGTAAATACATTGAAGCAATTCAGAAGATTCACCAGAATAATACCCGGTAAAGGGAGGCATGAGGAGGAGCTGTCTTTAAGGAAAGGGCAGACAGGCTGGGTTTGTATTCATAGCAGTTTCAAAGTGCAGAGGCAGACAGGATCCCAAGGGGTCTTGGCAAAGAGGAGGTGGAGAAGATACATCTGCTTACAGGAGAATCTAAAACAAGTGGTCATCATTTAAAAATAAGGGATTGTCCATTTAAACCAAATGTAGGGATTTGTCTTCTCTCACAAAGGCTTGAGTGTCTTTGGAATTCTGCTTCCGCCAACTTCTCAGGAAGAGAATCCGCAAATATTTTTAAAGGCAGAGGTGGACAAATCCTGGGTACGCAAGAGGTGAAAGGTTGTTGGGGTAGGTGAGAATATAAACTCAAATCCATAATCAGATCTTATTAAAATGTTAGAGGGGCTGAACGGCCCACTCCTGCTCCTTGTTTACGTGTTCGTATATTTCAATGTGGTAATGCAAGGAGCAGATTCTACGGGTAGGAGGATGAATGGTTGGCACAAGTATTGGACGCTGAATTATCAAAAATAGCCATGGCACAGTTAACACTGGAAGAAAAAACAGGTTGTTATCTGGCCAAACTTGAACACAGGATCTGAAGTCAAATGCAAACCTTGCCTTGGTTGTATTGCTCTTGCTTCAGAGCCAAAAGGTTGTGAGCTCAAGATCCAATTTAAGAGACTTGAGCACATAATCTTGGCTGATATTTCCAGGGCAGTATTGAGGCAGTGTGGCACTTTCTGACGTGCAAGCCTCTTACATAAGATATCAAATAGAAGCTCATTTTTCCTTCTCAGATGGGATTGTAGATGCCAAACCAACATTTAAAACCAGCTGAAGTTGTTCCTCCTGTGTCC